AGCAAAAACAGACAAGAAGTGGGAAGGGATGAGGCTGAGGAGACCCCAAAACACACAAATGTACACATAGCCTCACTGTTCTAGAGTCGGTAGGCAGAATACCCCACCCCGTCCGTGTCCTGACCCTGGAACCCGTGAGCCTGTTACCCTACACGACAAATGGGACCTTGTAGTCATCATTAAGGTGAAGGAACTTGATAGAGATGGGGAAGTTGTTTTGGATTATCCATGTGGATGAGTCCTTAAAATCAAAGAAACTTTTCCAGATATGGACAGAAACTACGATGTGGCAAAGGAAAAAGGGACAGAGAGATGCCACACTGCTGGCTCTGCAGATAGGGGAGAAGCAATGGGCCAGGGAATGCAGGCAGCTTTCTGGAGAAGGCATGGAGCCAGATTTTTCCCTAGTGCCTCCGAAGAGGCACAGGGACCTGCTCACACACTGATGTTAACCAAGGGAGACCATGTTGTACTTGCAACCTATGGAAAATACATTTGAGCTGGGTGTAGTGGTGCATGTTTGTAATCCCAGCACTCAGAGAGGCCGAGACAGGAGGGTCACCAGGCTGGGTCTCTGAGTTTCTCAAATTTAACTCACCCAGCTGTCACAGACTCACTGACCGAATTTTTCAGGACATGCCAGAGACATGAGTAGATTTTATTAGGCAAAGATAGAGTACAGTACACACTCAGCAAAAGTATTTATTATAGAGCAAAGGCAGAAAGCAGCCTTTATTGGTTTTTTTGTTTGCTTTTTGTAGTCTAGGTTGGCCTTGAACTTATAGCAGTCCTCCTGCCTCAGCCTCACGAGTGCTGGGATTACAGGCATGAACCATCATAGCCAGCTAACAGCAGCCATTATTCTAAAATGAAAGCAAACATCTTCTAAGTTGTTGAACCTCAAATAGTGTTATCAGAATCTCCTGGCTTTTGATTCTCCTAGATGACTGCACCAAAATGTTATTGGGTAGCTCCTAAAAATGGCTTCCCAACTAAATGTTCTGGATTGCTCACCTCTCCTTCCAGAGTTAGATTCCAGGTTTCAGGGTTCAAATTCCACTTTGTGTGTGTGTGTGTGTGTGTGTGTGTGTGTGTGTGTGGTACCAGGGATCAAACTCAGGATGCTTGTGAGGCACGGACAGTACCACTGAGCTAAATCCCCGGCCCCAAATTCCACTTTTTAATTTCCTGTCTGTGCATACCACATTTTAGGTATCCATTTGTCCATCTATCAATATTTGGGTTGCTTCCACCTTTTGGCTATTGTGAATAATGCTGCTATGAATATGTGTGTGCAAATGTCTATTTGACATTTCTGATGTTTCTGATTCCTTGGGGTATATACCCAGAAATAGAATTTCCAAATAATACAGTAATTCTGGGCCAGGGATCTAGCTCAGTGGTTTCACCACCCACCTCACAAGCACAAGGTCCCAAATTCAATCCCCGGTACCAAAAAAAAAAAAAAAAAAAAAAAAGTACTCAAATAATACAGTAATTCTGTGTTTATTAATTTATTTTGTGTTTTTTTAGACTGGGTTTCTCACTGTAATCCAGACTGGCCTTTAACTTGCTACATAGCCCAGGCTTCAAACTCACAATCCTCCTGCCTCAGCCTCTCAAATGCTGGGATTATAGTCATGGGCCACCACTCCTGGCTCTATATTTAATTTTTAGATTAATTGTCATATGCTTTGCCACAGCAGCTATACTACTGTACAGCTTTCCACTAAATAGTTTTTTATATACAAAGATGGACACATATGCAAGGACATTCACTACAGCACTGACTGTAATAGTGAAATATGAGAATCCACTTATAGTGGCACATGCCTGTAGTCCCAGCACTCAGGAGGCTGAGGCAGGAGATTTACTCCTAGTTCAATGCTAGTTGAAAGTCAACCTCGGCTACATAGTGAGACCCTGTCTCAAAAAAAAAGAGAAAGAGACCACTTAGTCATTTAATGAAATATTATCATATAAATCTATATATACATAAAAAAGCATATCCTGTTAGGTGAAGTAAAGCAGAATGCAAGGGAGTCAGGGGATAGCCTTAATCCTATGTACTTGTGCCATGCCACCCACTGCAAGACTGGCCCTCCCACCCTCAGCAGTAGCCTGGGTTCCCTGAAGGGCTAGGTGCATCTAGATGCTGGACTCAGGGGTAACTGTGTGTGCTCAGTGTAACAGGCAGGCATTTGTTCTTGGCATTGTTTTTTTTCACCTCAGACAGAAAGCCTTCAAGAGTATCCATGCACATCACGTACTCCAGAACAGCAGGCAAAAAGCCAATGGCTATGGTTGTATCTTTAGCAACTCAATGGCCTTGTCATCCGGGCTCCTGTGAACCAGACACTGATTAAAGTCAGCTGGATGAAGCCTGTTCTCAGCATTCCCCAAGAATATGGTAGAATATTTGGTATCACTGGCAAGTCAGCCAGGCCTGGCCTTGGTCATAAACAATAGAAGCTGGGTTTGGCGTGCATGAAGTTCACGGAAGATAGGATGTCAGAAATTGGTTGGTTGGGAACACACGACCCTCTCTTTGGCCCACGTGGGCATGGTGTGTTAGGTTTTGACACTATTGGTACATCCGAAGAAGTAGGACTAATGTGACTTGGTTAATGGAATAATTATGGGGAAGGATAACCCCAGATCTGTGATCAGCATCTATAGAAGCATTTTCTCAGATGCTGCCCAAACACATCTACATGATTGAAGAAGCCTTGAGGAGCCATTATTTCTGCCCTTGAAATCTCCTATTTATTGTCTCACCAAGAGGAACCAGAAAGTAACTGAGACATTCACGATTTCCTGAGCAATTATTCAGGATGTGAGGGGGATCTGGCTGCAGCTTCTGTCACCCCATTGATTGCCAGGGTTGATTCGGGTGATCTGGCTGGCTAGGCAGGTGTCCCCCTCCTCCCGAACTGCTCCATGTGTGTCCCTCCTGAAGCTGTGTGCTCAGTCAAGAGGATGACCACCCCTGATAGAAGAGGACCGTTTCTTCAGTCAAGGGTATACAAGTAGCTACACTCCCCTGCTAGAACCTCCAAACAAGCTCTCAAGGTCCTGAGCAATTATTCAGTTCACTATCTTAAAGACACTGTGCAGAATGTGCAAAGAAGGTAAAATAAATCTGACTATTATAACTACACAGTTTTAGCTGCATGTGGTGGCACACATATGTAATCCTTGGGAGGCTGAGGTAAAAGGATTGAAGCAAGTTTGAGGGCAGCCTGGGCTATACAGGTGAATTCAAAGCCCCCTGAACTACATAGCAAGACCCTGTCTCAAGAAACCAAGAAGAAAGAAAAAGAAAAAATGAAATATAGTTTTGTAACTGGCTAGATTTAAAGATTAGTATTATGAGTACTGTTTTGCCTAGATCTCATTTTAGGTTTTTTTGGGCGGAGGGGTTGTTTGTTTTGCAGTACTGGGGATTGAAGTCAGGACCTGTGCTTTTGAGGTAGGTATGGCACCACTGAGCTAAATCCCCAGCCCCCTTGTTTGGTTTTTTGAGAGAGGGTCTAACTGTGTAGTTCAGGCTGGCCTTGAACTCACTATGTAGCCCAGGCTGGCCTCAAACTCATGGCAATCCTTCTGCCTCAGCCTTCTAAATGCTGGGGTTGTAGCCATGCACCACCAGGCCCAGCAAGAATGGATGTTAATAAAAATGAATAATCTCAAAGTATCTCCCCATAAGTAACTAATTACTAGGGCCAGGGATTTATCTCAGTGGTTCTGCCACCTGCCTCACAAGCACAGGGTCCTGAGTTCAATCCAAGGTACCAAAAAAACAAAAAACAAAAAACAAAAAAACCCTAAAACTCTCAAAGGAAAAACTAATAATAGTATGGTAAAGGGCCGGGGATTTAGCTCAGTGGTTCCGGCACCTGCCTCTCAAGCGCAAGGTCCTGAGTTCGATCCCTGTACCAAAAAAAAAAAAAGTATGGTAAAGAAATCACCTTAGCCAGGCTTGGTGGCACACTCCTGTAATCCCAGCACTCGGGAGGCTGAGGCAGGAGGATTACCTCAAGTTTGAGGCTAGCCTGGACTACATAGAAGACCTTGTCTCAAAAAGAAAAAAAAAAAAAAGAAAGAAAGAAAAGAAAGGAACCACCTTACCAAGGATCACTAGCAACATTGTGAATCCCTTGATATGACACAATGAGAATGAGATATCATTTCTCTGATTTTCTTGCCAAAAATGCACATTCTCAACTTAATTCTGAGAAAAATATCAGACAAACCCCAACTGAGACACACACATTCTGCAAAATAACTAACTAGTAATTCTTGAAAAGTGCCAAGGTCATACAAAGCAGGCAAACTGAGGAGCTGATTGGAGGAGGCAAGGGAGACATAAAACCAGAATCCGGGACTGGATCGTCAACCAGGAAAGAACACTGGTGAGAGATCTGATGAAACTGGAATAGACTTTACAGATTATAATATCTCACTAATGTTAATTTCCTGATTTTTTTTTTATCATTGGCTTTTAGTTATACAAGATATCAACATTTGGGGAAGCTGGGTGAAACGCATACAGAAACTCGGTTTCTTTTACAAAAATCTTATAAGGGCCAGGGATTTAGCTCAGTGGTTTCACCACCTGCTGTGTAAGCACAAGGAGCCGAGTTTGATCCCCGGTACCAAAAAAACCACAACAACTTATAAGTCTAAAATTATATTCAAAATACAATATTTACGTGGTGAAATCCAGAAGGGGAAGTCTAGAGATCACAGAGCAAGCAAGTGTCCGAGCTGGGACGTGATGGGCTGGGGGGGCTGGAGGAGGCAGTGGATGGTTCATCTCCAGGGCTAGGACAGCGCCCTCTCCCTGCCCCAGGCCCCTCACCCCTCGGCTCGGCTGCCCTTGGGGAATGCAGTGGGGGGAGGGGCAGAAGATCTGGGCCGGAGAGGCCCCCAGGAAACCTGGTTGAGAATCCTATGGTTGCTGCCTCTCCCTTGGGTCTCTGACTGTGGCTCCCTGGCAGGAACACAGGGACGTGACGTGGCAGATGACACGGCTGCTCCTCCTAGCACTGGTGCCAGCTTCAGGGGGTGCCCAGCCCAGGATTCCATGGGCCAGGACCAGACACCGTAAGTCCCACAAGACAAAGGAGGCTGTGTTACCAGGTGAGGCGGAGTGGGGCCTGGGAGGAGGAGGGGCTGATCCTGGGAGGGAGAAGTTAGGGGACGGAAAGGGCAGCTGGGGGCAACGTGGAGGCAGGAGGTGATCCTGGAGAACTTCGCCACCCCCGGGAGGCCCCCAAATCTATAGTAGTAGAGGGACCAGGTATCCAGCCCCCACTTGTGAGCGGAGGGCTTTCCTTATACCGCTGGTGTGAATGTGCCCAGAGGGCCTATGGGGCAGGTGGGTGGGGGTCCCTGGTACACCGGTGAGGACTAGTCCAGAGCAGGCACAGGCATCTGTGGGAATCAAGGAGACCGTTCCCAGCCTTACTCGTGCGACAGCCCAGAGCTCAGTGGCAAGGGAGAAGAGGAAACATGTGTCTCCTGGTCATGTTGCCATATGTACAAATGGGCTAGGTTCCCCAACCCCCTGCCTGAGACAGTAACAAAAGGGACAGTAACAAATCAGATGGGCCAGGAAGCTTCCCAGTAAGGGGCCTTGGAGGACTAGTAAATTTCCCAGGATGACAGAACAGGAAAGGACAAGAGGACAGCATGTGCACAGGTCAGAAGGTGACTGATGGCACGAGCAGTGGTCAGCCTAGTGTGGCCAAAGCCGAGGATGCTTCGAGTCAGGCGTGGTGGCGCATGCCTATAATCCCAGCACTCAGAAGGCTGAGGTATAGGATCACTGAGAGTTCAAGGCCAGCCTGGGCCTACAAAGTGAGAGCCTGTTGCAAAAAGTGTGTGTGTGTGGGAGATCGAGAAGCCAGGGCACCATTTATTTCTTTATTTATTTCTTTTTGATTGTTTTTAGACAGGGTCTCACTTTGTACTTCAGCCTGCCCTTGTACTGATTATGTAATCCAGGCTGGCCTCAGATTCTTGTGGCAACCTTCCTGCCTCAGCCTCCTGAGTGCTGGGATTAAAGACATCTGGCACCACACCTGGCACTGGGGCCCCATTTAATAGGGAAGCTTACTGAAACAGCTTCAGCAAATTTCAGCTTGAATTTAAGGCTCAGGAGAGATGCTGGCCTTTCATTCCTTCTGGCTTCCTCCTGTGCTCCCCACAAGGTTTCATATTGCCAAAGGGCTGGTGGTGTTCCAGAGAAAAACTGCGGTATGGACAGGCTCCAGGGGCTGAGACTGGAGAGAGGAGCCCAGAAGCCCCATGATATCTGAGTCATTGCCAACATTTCATTTCTGTTTGGGGGGTTTTGTTTTGTTTTGTTTTTGGTACCGGGGATCGAACTTGGGTCCTTGCGCTTGCGCAGCAGGCGACGAAACCACTGAGCTAAATCCCCAGCCCTGTGTTTTGGGTTTTGTTGTTGTTGTTGTTAGTTAGTTAGTTTGTTTTTGTGGCTCTAAGGATCAAACACAGGGCTTCACACATGGTAGACAAGCGCTCTGCCTCTGAATTACACCCCAATCTTGTTTTCTTTTTTTATTGTTAAAATTTACCATTTAACCTTTCTTTCTTCCTTCTTTCTTTTTGTTTTTTGAGGTTTGTTTTTTGGGGTTTTTTTGGTACTGGAGATCGAACTCGGGTCCTTGCGCTTGCACAGCAGGTGGCGAAACCACTGAGCTAAATCCCCAACCCTCCAAAATGGAACTTCTGTATCCACCCCACATGTGCTTTTAAGAGCCCAACTGCAGTCCCTTGTCTCTGCCAAGAAATGATACAAAGCCTTTTTTATTAGTCCATGTTTGCAGGACATAATGGTCACATTCATTGTGAGAAGTCGGTACCTGTGCATAACAAATCTTAATTCTTTTTACATCTTCTTCTCCTACCTCCCCCCCTCCCTCCATCTCTACATCGCTTTCCCATTTGCAGAAGTTCTATTTCCCTGTTCACCTTCTTTTTCTTCCTTCCTTCTTTCCTTTCTTTCTTTCTTTCTTTCTTTCTTTCTCCCTCTCTTTCTCTTTCTTTCTTTCTTTCTCCCTCTCTCTTTCTTTCTTTCTCCCTCTCTCTCTTTCTTTCTCCCTCTCTCTTTCTTTCTTTCTCCCTCTCTCTCTTTCTTTCTTTCTCCCTCTTTCTCTTT